AGAGGATAGGGATAGAATGGGCTTTGAAGTACAGCCTATACTCATTCCTGCTGGTCCTCACACCTTCTCAGAGTCCTCTCTGCCATTTCTCAAACCAAGTTCTTGCAAAGAGCCAAGAATGCCCCGTTTCTTCCAGAAGCTCATTAAAATCACAGCAAAATCCACACTAATGGATGTTGTCACAGGGGGGACAGGATGGCGTTGCAACTCAAAAGCCTACTCAATTAAGACTTAAACAAAATTTATCCGTTTATAATCTGTATATTACCAATGTATATGAACAAAAGAGTCTAACCTGCGGTATAATGTTAAGCTTGCCACGCAGATCATGCAAACCGATTGTTGATATGTCAATACCATCTATGATAATTTTGCCTCCAGCTTTTTCTAATATTCTAAACAAGCTATTTGTGAGAGTCGATTTCCCAGCTCCTGTTCTTCCTATGATTCCAATCTGTAACAAAAATCCACATCAAAAGCCTGAATATCCTTTTCCATTCACACAGATGTTGAAGTGATAATACTTTCACCAAATTATTTCATGGTGAAAATGATAAACTTTTCAAGGTGAAAATGATATACTTTCAAGATTAATAGCAAAACAGTATTTGAAACTTTAAAAAAACTTAATATGGATTGTGCCACATGACATATACAAAAGGTTAGTAAAGGATCCTGGCCCCTAAATTGCTCAAGAACAGGGATGTGCAGAAATTTCACCAGTTAGTCAAAACAAGCCATATTGACACACTGTTAAAAATTCTCCAGCCTCTGCAGCAATTCTCACCTCCAGCATGCAAGTAAAGCAAAAAGCACTTTTTTTGTTGCTTTATGCATTTTGTGCAAAGCACAACAGCACAAGACTAGTGTCATTCCCTTACATACAGCAAACATAAAAGAACAGTCTGATTGACTGGAAACAAACAACCCATGCAGTGCTTCTTACATTTGTAGGTTCATGAACAAAGGCAACACACAAATCACATTTCCCAATAACATGTAGTATTCAGAAATACACAGAAATATACCTCACAAAGTTGCAAAACCCCGTTGAGTCTAACAACAAATATTCTTGCTGTTTTGCAGTGAGGAGAAAATTTTTCATGTTTTCTTATTTACTGCATAAAAGTGAAACAAATCAGGAAGTGTCTTACTAAAAGATATCTCAGCTAATCCAACTGAGATGCACATTTTCTTCAGGACAAAATCCTAAAAATATTCTGATAGGCACATAAACCTGCAGGGCATGAAACATTTGGGATGTCATGCATGTAAGTTAGTGTGCATGCAAATATCTCCCTTCATTTCAGTGAACGCGGAAGACTGCTTGTGTTACAGTCCTCCATTAAAGTTGGTGGAGTAAGCCTCGTAAGAGCGGTTATGTTCAATATGCCCCCCTATCCCTCAGTCAACAGGAATCACTTTAACTGGTAACACTATTGAAGACCTGAGCCAGAAACTATGCTAAATACTTTGAAACTGTATTGATTACAGTGAATTGTTGTTTTGTTGTTGTTATGTGCTACCAAGCCGCTTCTAATTTATGAATGAGTGACCTCCAAAATGTCCTATCATTAACAGCCCTGCTCAGGTCTTGCAAACTCGAGGCTGTGGCTTCCTTTATGGACCCAATCCATCTCACATTTGGTGGTCTTCTTTTCTTGCTGCCTTCAACTCACAGTGCATGTTGATTGCAGTGATTAATTTTTTAAAAGGGAATTGATGTGATGCCAAAAATTTCTACTGGTGAGTATTACCTTCTCTTCTTTGTGGCTTTGAAAAGAAATATTCTGTAGAGCTAGGCCCAGATCCGGTCTATACCGAACCTGGTAATTGACAAACTGTATTACTCCTTCTCCAGGCCACCCTGCAGGTGGTCGTTTGGACAGTATCCAGGGGGCCTGAAACAAATAGGTAAAAAACAACAATAAATTTCATTCTGTAACCTATTTAGAACTTTAAACGTCAGTACTTTAACCTGATAGACAAATCACCGTTGAATGAGCATCAGAAGAACTTAGTAAGATTTCTCTATTATCAAATAGCTCATCCACTTCACAAGTTTTGAATTTACTGGCTTAATTTTTTTATTATTAGCAAGTGCTACTTAAAAATGCTGAACAGTTGTCAATGAAATCACTATAGCTTAAATGCAATTCCTAGTCCCAACTAGAGCAGACCTACTTGAATCAATGAAACAGTTTGTGGGGTCTATATACCACACTGCAGCAAAAAAGTATGCTAAGTGTTCATTCTTCCACTCGTTAGCCCAATTAAAAGAGGAAAAGGGAGTTGGATTGTTTATTAAATAAGGAACAATGTGTACTCACTTTCTAAAAGCAGAGAGTAAAGAACACTCCATACATTACTTTCATTTCATAAAAAATGCTTACCTCTTTTTCTAGTTTTGAGTATTCACAAACTCTTTCAATAGAAATTCCATTGGTTTCAATTTCACATGTTTTTCGAACCCAAAAGTTCAAACTTTGAGTTATCTGAAATAAATTTTACATGTTTGGCAAGCTTGTTTCAATGGCCTTGTTCTGTTAAATAAATGTGGTTCCACAAAATTGCTTTATATACTGGAGATATAAGACAAAATGTCATATGTATCCTAAGATTCTAAGCCAGAGGTGAGCAAAAACAAACAAACAAAAAAACCAGACACTTGAGATGCCGCTGGGCAGAGCATTCTTCACCACTGCTGATGCCGGACAAACAAAACCTGGGTGAGGGCTGCATTTTTCAGATTCATAGTCTAGACATAGTACTAAATGGACATAATGGCATGCCATGATATACCAAATCTGAGGTATGGCAACCACCTCAACCATGTGGCTTGCCTTACTCATTTCTGGTCATGAAAAGGTTCAGACTGTGGTTTTTGGCAGATTAGCAGAGGCAGGTTTGCTTATCATAACAAGGCAGATTTCAATAAACCACCGTGGCCTGTTCTGATGTACTAAAGCAGTCAATGTTTTGGAAACACTTTGAGATTACTTAGAGAAGTGTTGGACTACAGCAGAATTTGCAACTGTGGCCAGGAAGGTAGACTTCCCTTGTATTCCACTGTGTCCTCATCACAGGTTTTAGACAGCTTTCTCCTCCTCCATGACTCAAGACCTCTGTGGCAACAAAAACAGCCATCCAGAGCATATTTTTGGAGTGCATGGCTAGGGTGTGGGGACAGCAAAAGCAGTGGAAGTATACCATTAAATCCTAATGTATGTATTCCAGCTATTTGGGGGGAGGGTGGCATAAGGACATTTGTGCCCTTAACAACCAAAATGAGAAGCAGATATTCAACAGGCAGTGATATGAAAAGCTCCAGTGGTTGCATTTTTGCTCCTCCCACACATATAAATTGGAACCTTGACATAAAATAAAACTTGCAATCTTGCTAGTGAATATTGTAAATTCATTTGCTTTAAATAGCTGACTTACATTTAGAGCATATGATATTGATAATCCCACTGTAGCAGAATCCATCTTTCTGCCAGCAAACACGGTAAGTACTGCTGCAAAGAAGACCATCAGGTTGCCCAGAAATTCAAGTCTGACAGCCAGCCATCTGTCATAAGTGCATCCATCAAAATTAAAATGTTTGCATGTCATACATATATTTCACATAGATTTAGTCACTGTTATTAAAAGCTTGTATGAAATATCTCAGGTTAGTAACTTTCAGCTATAATGATACAGTCTTTACTATACATTTAAATCACAAGAATACTTAACTACTTTTGATAAGCTATCTCTTAATGATCTGAGTGATTAACTATGTAACACAATTGATCAACTAAAGAAGAAGAAAAGGAAGAAAAAGGAGGAAAGAAGGCTTAACATTGTACAATTCTCATTTCAGAAGTGATATTGTAGTCAAAGTTAGGACTCCATTCCCGTTTTCAATGATCTATACGTAGTCAATGTATGTGATCCTTAATTAATCAGCCTTCTGTAGATTAAAGCAGGAATTTAACCTGGTATATGTAATTCCCATTGGGTAATGTAGTGCTACAACGCAGCACCTTTTAGATATTTTGGACTACAATGACCACCATACCTGACCATTGAATATTCTGCCTGAGAGGTATGAAGTGTCATCCAATACATATGCCAGACAATATGCTATAGGAGACAGATCAAGACTGCCAAGACAGTACCTGTTTGAAATCACGTTGTTGTAGAAGTAAACCAGGTTCTCATTGACCACATCTTTGTTTTGATTAATAAATCTTTCCTGATGTCCAAATGCTCTGACAGTTGTTGCACCCAAAAGTGTTTCGCTGAAGTGTGAAATTATAGGGGCATGTGATGCCCCAGCCAATCTTCGAATTTGTCGGGAACTAGCTATATAGTACCGCTAATAAAACCACATGAAGCAAACAACAGGTAAGAAGTTGCTATATAGATCTGGAAAGATCTGTGCAAAATTTCTACAAAAGTATAAAAAGTTGAGTTCTAGGACACAGAATAGGTGGAACGCAAAAGCAAATAAACAAGGGTGCTACCTCATTATACCCAGTACTGTTGGAAGCAGCTCAGCAAACCACAGACCTTTTCTCCATGGTTTATGTATTGAGACAGTCACACAGTGCAACACTGTGATATTTAGCATGCTGTTCAAACTTGCTAAAGGATCCCTTCCCCAATATACCAGAGAAATAGCTTAGTATTTGGTTTATTTCTTTGGCTTACATCAGGTAGTTGGGATAGAACAGACAACACATAGACCAGATGTTCACAGCTTGTTGATACGCTGCCATAGCAGATAGCATGATGCTGCCTTATTGTTGTATTTGAATACAATCACACTGCAGGTTTGTATAGGATTTTTAAAATTAAAAAAATAACGTAGCATCTCCGTTATCTCAATGAACAGCGTGGTCTTCTCTCCTGATACCAAGCTGCCCAACTGTTACCAATATGTCAGTGTAGTCAATTTTGAACAAATATGTGACATGTTTTTCTCTAGAAGTGTTGGAACACCAGCTGGTACACTTTCTATTGACTTCTTAAAAAGTTATCTCTGAGTTCAAAAGGGACCTTGTGAACAACAGGTGATCTACAAATCAGCATGAACAAGGATGGCCATACGGCATCCTTACTCTCGGTCCATACGGTCTCCTTGTAAGTGCAGTCCTAATTTGAGTAAATTGGCCAATCACACAAAAAGTCAGAAGGCCAAACAGCCCCATGAGAATTTCAGATCTTTGGAAACAAAACCTAGATGTGGTTCTGGGGATGATTATACTTCCTTGAAGCACCAAATCTATAATTTAAGGAGATGATAGATGGGTCTCTCTCTCTCTCTCTCTCTCTCACACACACACACACACACACACACACCACGGGTGTGGAGACCCTTACACACACACACACACACACACACACACACACACACACACACACACACACACACACACACACACACACACACACACACACACACACACAAAGCCCAGGTGTGGAGAACCTTTTACCAGCTAGGCTGGCAAGAATGTATCTCTTCCTTGTATGGTTGGCCCTGCTATAAAACAACTGAGACTCCTGCCTCAGGCAAGGGGGTGATCAATGCTGGAGTGAGTTCCCCAAGTGCCATTATCAGCTGCTCGAAGACATGCTCACCATTGCTGCCAGATACTCATATCCCCTTCTGCTAAGTACTTCTTACTCTACTCTCTACTACCAGTGCTGGAGGCTGCTGCCCTAGCAAGGAAGAAAGCAAGCTGTGCTTGTAGTGCTGGTGGTGGGTTGGCCACGCATGATGCCTTCCCTCCTAGTGAGTGAGCCAGCCACCTGTAGCTACTATATCAAGAGCACCTGCCTATTTTTGGAGCACAGTGGCCAGTCAGGTTCTAATACACTGGTGACAATCTGTACCTGCATGGAAGGAAATGGAGATGGAAGGAGAAGGATGCAGCCCTTTGCGTCTTTTCCCAAGAAAAAAAAAAACATTGGAAAAACAAGGATAATGTGTTTACTGGACTTACTTGTATAGTGAAATAGATGTATCCCAGTGGAACCACAACTAGTATGAACAGAGGTGATGCAAACACAATCACAAGAATAGTTCCAACAACATCCAGCATACAATTCAGCCAAGTCCGCAGATAATAATGGAAACGTATATCAACAATAAACATGTCCTAGAACAGCACACAACAAAAGCTATTTTGCAAAATTTCCCACCAAATAATTGAAAAGAAAAATGATCAGTTCCCATTCTCTCATAGTTTTCCCCAACTTGTCTCTTTCCAGAAGTGCTGGCCTCCCAACACCCAGCATTCCTGACTATTACCATGGTGACTGAGGCTGATGGGAGCTGAAGTCCAAAATATCTGAGGGTTGGGGAATATTGTTCTGCCATCCTAACCCTAACCCAACAGTCAGCTCTAAGACAGATATCTTTAAAGGCCAGAAACAGTAATGAAGTCTGAACAACCTCAAAAGTTAACATCCATGATACATGCAATGAAAAAGTACAGTATTTTTCTTTGTATAAAATCATTACACTAAAAATTGAGAGGTGTCTTATACACAGAAGTAAGCTGAGGAGAGTACAAAACGTCTGTACTTTGCCTCTGTAAACAGGCTTCCTTCAATCACGAGGCTTAGCTTCCTACAGTCAGAAGACTTAGCTTCCTCCAATCACGAGCCTTATGGAACTGACGTCAGCTGATGCTGAACATACCAATTGGAGCACACCTTTTTGGAGGTGGAGCCTGTAGGCTCAGATACAACAGGGACTCATAATGTCTGTGCATTCTGAGCCCAGAGGCTGAATACTCAAAGCTAAGTTTTCTTAATTTTCGTTTAGAAAAGGGGGGCATCTTATAGACAGAAAAATACAGTAAATGTAAAAATACAGTAAGTCCAGGTGCGGCAGAATGTTAGAAGTGTAATCACAGCTCTTACATTACACTTCTTTCTCATCTATCCTCCAGAAATAGCCTGGCAGTAGTTTCCAACATTTGGTAAGCCACATATAATTGGACTGCAACTCTCAGAAACCGTTAGCACAGCTGGTGGTGAAGGCTTCTGGAAACTGCAGTCCAAGATCACCTGGGTCATCCAAGATTGGGAATCACTGACCTATGGCATAGACATAGACCAGGAGGTTTTGGTAATTGTGAGGACTCCTTCTGAGATTGTTCTGCCTCTCAACATAGAACCCCTTTAAAGTTTCTGGAATTTATATGCTTGTTCAGTTTAGGAGGACTTCAAGCTGTGGAACAACATCAGGGAGTACTGTTCTCCCTGCATATGTTTTCTCAATGGAAAAGAAAATGGACCATAAGTGTGGACTTCAAGCTGCAGAACAACATCAGGGAGTAGTGATGGAAAAGAAAATGGACCATAAGTGTGGATTTTGAGAGGCAATCACTCTTTGAGAGAAGGCAGCAAAGGGCAAACATCTTGCTTGTGACCCAGCCAGCCACTCGACTCATTCTCCCAAAGCTGGCATTAAAATATGATGATAGTCTGCTCTCTACCTTGGTGAATCGGTTGATGATCTGACCGACAGGATTTGTTTCAAAGAACTGGAGGGGAAGGCGCAGGACACTGTCTAACATCTGCTCATGCAATGCCCGAGAAGCACAGAGAGATCCTCTGGTTAGCACATATGCTCCACAGCACACCAAAAAACCTTCAGCAAACAGTAGAAAGACAAGGTCAAAGCTTTTCGAACAGTTCACATTCGTGGTTTCACCATTCAAAATATCTAGTTTTTCAACAGCTTTGCATCACAGGAAACAAAAGCTATGCTACCACCACATGGCCCCTAATATACCCAACCTTGTCTGGTTTTTGGAGGTCACACCTGCTAAATACTTGGCTGAAAGAGGATAAGGAGGGCTAGGAAATAATCATGCCTGAAACTGTGGATAACTATTGCCAGTCAGAGTTGACAGCTCTAGACAGACAAATGGTCTGATCAGTAAAAGGCAATTCCCTGCATTCCTGTGATTCAGTTGTATCATGTCTTCCTATTACCAGTCTGTGATAAACAGGCACACTTGTATCTTACTTCATCCTTGGTGTCACAGAAACCCTATTTATAATGAAACAAAACATCACGCAGAACACACTGACATGGCCAGCTGTAGATGTCTGAGTGTAAGAACTGCATTGGGCAAGACATTCAATATGGGGGTGGTGCTCATCTGCTTCCATATTATGGTGTACCTTTAAATATACCTCAACAGCATAGATAAGTAGAGAATTTCTACCAAAATGAAACAGGAGGTACGTTCTTTGCTCAGTCTACTAAAGCAGTGATCCCCAACCTTGGGCCTCCAGATGTTCTTGGACTTCAACTCCCAGAAATCCTGGCCAGCAGAGGTGGTGGTGAAGGCTTCTGGGAGCTGTAGTTCAAGAACATCTG